ATTTTTTGGTGCGAGAGAGCACATCATCACCTGGTCAGTATGTCCTCAGTGGACTTCAGGGAGGGCAAGCAAAGCATCTTCTCTTGGTGGATCCTGAGGGCAAGGTATGAACATTTCATATATGGAAACCTGAGAGCTGCTCAGCGATTTCACTGCAAAATGATTTCCTGGACATGGAATTAATCTGATTCCCTTCAAGTTAATTTAAATTGAGCCAGTGGGTGACTTCAGTAGCTTTTAAAGTTCAAGAACTTATAAGTGCTGAAGCACCATGGAAATAGAAGTGAGGTACTTAAATATTGCTGTAGTCCAGGTGCTGATAATTAGTGCACACTTAACGTATCCTTTGAGTCGTCAGCATATTGCTAGAAAAATAACCCTAACATTAAATAATGAAGTTGGTTAGTAATGTACTTCTAGATAAAGAAAATATAGAGCTGGCTTGATGTCAGCTGAATTCTGCTTTTTTCTGCTTGGAGCTAAAAGAGCACTATTAAGTGAAAATCCTCAAATGAGGCATAAATCAAAAAATAAATTCTTAGTAGGAATTAGGGAAAAATGTCTCCTTCCTGTGGAGGAAAAAAAAAAAAAAAGGTTTATTTTGTTCCCTTTAAGCAGAATCAGCCCAGTTCTATACATTCAGTCTCTTGATAAGTCAGAGGATAGGTCTGAATTGCTGTCTACAGCCTAATGATGCTTCTCCATTGAGTTCAGTGGCTTAAATGCATTTTGACTTCAATGGAATAGGCTCGCATCCAACCACTTTCAAGCACGGTATAACCTTAAATACAATCTTTTGCTTCTTTCATCAGGTGAGAACCAAAGACCATGTATTTGATAGTGTGGGTCACCTTATTCAATATCACATGGAAAATAATTTGCCAATCATCTCTTCTGGAAGTGAAGTGAGCTTGAAGCAGCCTGTAAGGAAAGAGAGTAATATGGGACACTTGCATTATCACAAATAATCCCTTGGATCTCACAAACCCCAAGACAATTTGTATCTGGAAACTTCATTGACTATTATAAAACTTAATATTACGAAGACAATTCAAAAGGAATAGACTGCACTTTCTACTGCTGTTCCAGAAGATATCCTTTTGTGTGTATATATGAATATATGTATATGTGTATATCTATGTAGATCTATAGAGATCAATAAGCATAGTTATATAGATATATATAATCTTAACAAAATTACACCTTCAGAGTGTGAGATTCATTTGCGAGAGGATATTTTAGACATGCACAAATGTCACTTTCAAGGTCATACTGAATCAGTAACTATTTAAAAGCACAATCAAACCTCTACATGTAAAAGCTCACTTGAATGAACCACTGGAACATTAGTACGTGCCTTTTAGGTTAGAGTTATTGGAAACCAATATTATTTATACTGAATTAGTTTTGGATGGTTAAACAAACATGTCTAACCTTTTCGCTATTTGCCAAAACAAATGCAATCTGAATATTGCTAAAATATCACCTGCTTTCGATAGACACTAACAATCTCATTTTGCTTGTAACAGCACTTTACTAGCAAGTAATGTTTGAAATGAATGGTGTTCACAATACAAAAAGATTGTATGGTTTCTTGATTATTTTTTATCACTGACAACTCAAAGACTGAGATTATGCAATATTTACAAAGTTGAAATTGATACGTGTAATATAATTTTGGAATAGAACTTACTAAGGGGCAAGCATGCTAGATCCTAATATTTTTGTCTTGCATAAAATTTTACTATTATTACCAATTAATACTGGAGTAATCTCTTTTTAAAAGTAGGCTAAATATATTTTCATTGATTACATAGCTGTTTACAAGCTAGAAAAGCTGAACAAAACTAATGATACATTTTGAGAGAAAACTATTTAAAAGACTGTTTGAACTGTGCATGTGCCCTTATTCAGTATTCTTTCCAAAACAATATATGATTTCCTCTTTATTCACGTAGAGTCCAACTGTTCCTAAAGTCTTTTAAAGGAAAATTATCTATTGTTTGGTCACAATAAATAATCTAAATACAAACACTCGTATATTCCCAGTTCACATTAGTTTCTTGGGCTTCCTGTTGAAGAAACTGATTTAGTAGGTAACTGAAAAAAAGGGAAGATAGATCTGGGAAATTAGACTGAAAGTCCAGGTAGTAGCCTGAGAAAGTTGTACGTTTAAGATAAGTAATATCTTCTGGCACTGGCAGGGACATTCTCTGTCTCCTCGCCTACCAACATAGTTCTGTGAGGTAGACAGTTTTTGACCAATTAGCGGAAGAAAATATTTGACTATTAAGAAAAAGTTATCTTCATGTTAAATGGGACAGTATAGTAAGAGCTCTGTCCGCTGGAAAACCAAAGGAGTCACTTGGACTAAAAAATTGAGGACATAAGCTTTCTTAGAGAATATGATGTAAAGAGCCACATTTAGAGCAGTCCATAATCAGCTTTACTCTTTCTCAGCTAAACAGGCACAAAATATGCTTCATTCCTTGAGAACAACATGATATTACATATAACTGAAGAGGTGAGAAGCTTTAAAATATTGGTGCCTGATCTCCTTGGATAATACTCTGGCATTAAGAAAAAAAAAAAAGAGAAAAAAAAAAAGGTCCCTAACAGAAGTTCTTGCTAAAGTTTTGTACCAGCGCAAGGTCAGATGGACAGAAACTCTAAGTTTGGGATAGTAAATGCCTGCATAGTTTCCTTTCTATTCTTAGGTCTTACCAAACTTCATACAGTGTAAAATGCTTGATGTGAGTTCACTGATCAAACTGAAGCAAAAATAGCTACTTCTGTGGTATGCCAAGGGGACAGGAAGACCTGCATAAGGTAACTTTGATGTTTTCATCAAAGGTGAATTTTCTGACAGGTCATAGAAAGCAAATATGCTGAACTCTGTTTTATAACAAAAATCACAGCTACTGGTGACTAGAATAATACTGTTTTGAGTTGGGATAGCTTGAGTTCAAAGCTGTATTAATTTGGCACTCAAAATACTGACTTAAGAACTTTTTCACTCCATCAATTTTCACTTTACCAGTGCAAAAACATCCAGAGTGTGTATGTGACATTTGGAACACTGTGTAACAAAGTCTTGCTCTATGAATACCACAAACTGAAACAAAAGTAAGACCAGAATCTTTATTTTGTTGCTCCTGAATCTTTTGTATATGAAGTAAAACTATGAAGGAAAAGGGAAAGAAGTGTGAATTAACAGGGCAGTGTTGCAACAGTGCAGTGATTGATTTAACATTGATCACAGCTAAGTACTCCTCCTTAACAGAATGGGAGAGTGAAATATATGATAGGGAAAAGGTTTGTGGGTTGAGATAAGGACAGGGAGATCACTCACCTATTACTATAGTGGGCAAAACAGACTCAGCGTAAGGGCAATTGATGCAATCTGTTGTCTATTAATAACAGACTGTAGAAGTGAGAACTAAAATCAAGGCAAAAACACCATCCACCCCTTCTACCCTCCTTCTTCCTGAGTGGCACAGAGGAACAGGGGCGGTGATAAGCCCGTAACACTTTGTCTTTGCTACTCTTTCTTCCCCACTCTCTGCCCCTGCTGTAGCATGAGGTCTCTCCTGTGGGATGCAGTCCTTCCTGAACTAATCCCACATGGACTCTCCATGGGCTGCAGCCTCCTTCAGGCCACATCCACTGCTGCACTGTGGGTTCCTCCGTGGGTTGCATCCGTTTTTTCTGGAGTGGAACCAGGAATTTGGTTTTCAGTTTCTAACACCTATGTGCCTCTACTTGCTTATTAACGCTGCTTATCTCCTCCGTGGATCGCCTCCTGTAAATTATGGCATCTCCCATGCAGTTATGCCAAATTTAAAAATATCTGAATTGTGGAAACTTTTCCAAAACATCCATCTTGAGAAGGTTACTCTGAACTTTTGGCACACACAGACTTCTTTTTAAAATAACTTCATTTAGACTTCATTTAAAACTACTAGTGGAAATACTGAGGAAATTGCAAGCATTGGTTAATCTCTGCTGTAACGCTTACTAGCACCCTTGGGAAAAACAGCTAATGTTGCCTATAAAGCCCCATTTACAAGGCTTAGCATGTTAATTCCATTTCAAAGTGTCTATAAATTTCACTGAAACACATTAATACGCGTATCTCCTTGCTTCCATCAATAAAAATACTACAAGAAATGACTGAGATGCCTCTCCCCAAACCCAGCTTCCATTTTCAGCTGTTGGACTTTTCACAGCTAAGGCTGAGTGTCACCAGATGGAGCTATTACATATTTTCTTCATTGCTGAACAAAGCGGTCATTGTTTGAAAAAAGTGTTTTTTTTTTTTTAATTTATTTTGGATGTTTGCTGCAGGCTATTCTGCGTAAGGAGTTTGTGAGCTCACAGAAACTTGTTTTTTTTAGATAGATTGTGGCCAGGCCCGGAGGCCATGTGACTCCGTGTGACACAGCCCCTGAGCGCAGCCACTTTATGGCTGTGCCCCTCCAGGGCTTCAGGTGACAATGCGGACATCTTGTGCCATTGCCACCCTGCCAGCACAGCACGGCGAAGGGAACAAAGGGTCAGCATGTGGCAGCTGTGTGACGAGCGGGGTGACAGCAGCCCCTCAAAACACGCCCTACGGTGAGAAATGCTTATGCTCTGCCGCCAGCTCGCACCATGACGTAGTCGCCATCATGGAACGTCGCGCCGTCGGGCTGTGACGTCACGAGGGCACCGCTCTGATGACGCCACCGCGCTGTTGCCGGGCAACGGCCACGTCCCGCTGCGAAATGGCGCCGCTGCCCGCCCGCTTGCCCGCCTGCCGTGCGCGCGCACTCCCCCATCTCCGGAAAAAGCCCGCCCCTCCGCAAACAGGCAGCAGCCAATTGGTCGGTCGCTTAGCCAATCAGCGCGCCAGACCCTTTCCCGCGGCCACGCGCGCCTGCTTTCAAACAATCAGACCGGCGGGTCTGCAGCGCAGCCGAGCGCGGCTGGGGCGGGGCGAGGCGGGGAGGCGGTGCGCGGAGGCCGCTCGTCTCTTCCTGCGCCGCGATCCGGCGCTGCTCCGGCTGCTGGTTGGCGCGCGCGGCTGTATGTCAGAGCGGCGGGCGCACGTTCGGTTGTCATGCGGAAAAGCGGCGGGGCCGCTGTCGTTGTGTCGGAGGGGAGGCGGACGGTCGTCTCTCCCCGCGCCTCAGGTGAGTGGCGGCGGCCGGGTCCTCTTTCGCTTCTCCCGGAGGCCGGCAGGGAAGCTCTTCCCGCTGCGCGTGGCTGCGGGGCGCCGGCGCCGCGCTGAGGGAGAGCCGGGCCTCGGGATGAAGCCGGCCTGCGGGGCGGAACAGCGCCTCGGGGCCCGAGCCACAGCGGAGTGATGCTGAGGTTGCTGGGTCTCGCCGCGAAGCGCTTTCGCCTGGAGCCAGCCCGGTCCTTCGCCGAGCTGTAGTGTGCTTCTGCTTGGAGCAGAGCGCGATCCGTGCCTAGGAATAAGCGAAGCAAGAGTATCTTAATTATAGTAACTTCGTGATAAAAGCGCTCGGGTTCGAATTAAACTATTTAATTTGCTTTAAATAGTGAATTCTTAGAAATAAGTATCGCTCATACTGGAAAACAAATTCAAGTGAATGATACATCTAACATGCAGTTAGTAACTTTCAGAAAGACGTTTGTCTGTTTGGGTCCTTAATTCAGGAGCTTTTTGGAATATATTTATTTCCTTTTCATCACGTGTGATACTTTTCTGTTTTGTGATAGGTTTCCCTGGGTACTGGAAAATACTGTTAGAGCACAATGTCCCTCGACTTTGATAGTGGGGCTCTGCAGACTCAGCATGAAGATGAAGACTATGACCAAGAGGACTATGCGAGAGAGCAAGAGGTTAGAAAAAAGTTAATCTGAAGGCTTTTGTAACTAGTATCCCACAGTTTATTGTCCTTTTTATTAATTTACGTTTTACTCTTATAAAGAGAACGTAGAACAGCGTGGGCTGTGTTTTGCAAGAGTGATGTAAAAATTGAAGAGATAAGAAGATGATGCACCTAATGAGCCCTGTAATGTTACATGTAGAGGCTGGAAGGCCTTGATCATCTCTTGCCTAGGCAGTAGATAGGATGCTAAAAGCTGCTGTCACCTACTTTTTGCATTGTTCATAGCTTTTTCATGCATTGTAATTACTTGGCAACAGCTGTAATATGATAATCTAAGAAAAGAAATGAAGAACCACTTCCTCATTCCTTGTTCGCCACATCTACATGGTGGCCTTTCACTTATCTCTTGTTAGGAAAAGTCTGCACCAAAAAAATTGCTAGAAACATCACTAAGTTAATCAGTAGTCTGTGAAGCCTTGTGGGATGTAAGTCTGTGAATTCCTGTGCTGTGAACGAGTGACTTCTTTTCAATGAAGGAAAAAAAAACAGGATTTGTCCTAGCAGCTTATTTAATATATGTCTGCCAAATTTTAGTTGAATGTATGTTGGTTTGTTCTGTTTCAGTTGCAACAGCTGTTGACAGACCTTCCCCATGATATGCTGGATGACAGTGGAGACCAGCTCTCCAGCTATTCGGACTCTAGCATTCATGAGACTGAGGAGCAGTAAGGCTTTTTGTACTACGTTTTTTTAATTATTTTTTAAGTCGTGCTTTTGAGAATAGAACCAAATCTAGGCTGATCGTAGAATCCTTAGAGATGGAAAGGCCCTTTAAAAATCATCTAGTGCAACTGTCCTACAATGAATGGGGGCATGCACAGCTAAATCAGTTTGGTCTCAAAAAGCCTTCAGGGATGGGACAACCACATCATCTATAGCCAATCTGTTGCAGTGCCTCACCAGTCTCACTGTAAAAGACTTTTTCCTTACATCCAACGTTAATCTACCCTCTTTGAACTTGAAGCTATTTCCACTTGTTCTATCACCATACACCCTACTAAAGGAGGTGTACAGAAAGCAGTTTAAGTAAAAGGCCTGCTGTACTGCAGTATGGTTGGGGCACCTCTTAATTTAATGAAGTGAGCTGTTGTTGTTGTTGTGTTCGTGTTTCTTTTCTGTTTGTTTTTTTTTTTAAGTACCATAACTAAGCTTTTTGTCTTTTTCTAGGTCACAGGAAGCTCGAAAGCCTGATGGAAGGTGGAATGATCATCTATTGATAACTGATGCTCAAAATGTAAGTTTGTGTAAACTGTGATATAATGGAGACTACTTATGGATGATTACATACTAAATATTCTTTAAATTCACTAGAGAAGTAGTTCTACCATAGGCAGCATGCTCTGCTTTTCATTTGAAATAGTTCTCCCTTGAGAGCTGGTAAGAAAAAATTTGAGTTTTCAGAGAGCAAATGTTAATTCTCTTATTCATTTATAGGGTTATGAGCAAGGACAAAATCTGTACCCTGACCAATTCTTGTGTGACCAGCAAAATGACCATGTTGAAAAACATGCCAAGAATTGGAATGGCTTGCATAACAGCGATCAGATGAAACATTTATACGATGTAAAAGAAGATTACTCTGGACAGAACAGTCAAGAAGATGCAGATGATGTCTATCTTGATAGAGATGGATTTAATGCTCCAGGTTGCTACCAGCAGAGCAATTTATATCATCTTCCTGAGAACTTCAGACCATACACTAATGGCCATAATCCAGAATTTAACAGTCAACAGAATCAAATACTAAACTTTCCCGATGCTCCAAAGGAACATCTTAAGGTATTTTAGAAGCTGATGTATTTTTCTGACTTGGTGAAAATTTTCATAGGCTTTGTTGCTGATAGTAATATTTCCAGATGCTTTTAATCTGTTATTATCAGTTGAAACAATGATATAAGGTTTCTGTAATCAATTTTGCATATTAAAACAGGAAAGTGTTAAACATCAGAGTTTTTATATATCCACATTACAATTTTTTCCTCATTGGCTAGCCACAGAAATCCATGAGGAGGAATGAATGCGGTGCACTGAAGCATGTGTTTACTCAGTTGAAATTGAAGGCTAAAGCAGAAGCCTCTGTTACGGTTTCTATCACAGTTGAATGATATCCTGTATAGGATTCTGTAAATGAGAAGAGGAGATACTAAACCTCTTCTTGATATCAACCAGTAAAACAAAAAGGAAAATTATTTTAATTGAGGAATCTACATTTGTAGCTCTCATTTCTTTATTCTTATATATTGTCACAGCAGCCGTTTGTTACATCTGAAGTTGTTAGTGGCCAGTCAGCAGAATCTTACAAAGTGATGTATAAGCCTTACCAAAATGACGTTCATAAAAAAATTCCAGTAACCCAAGAAGGAACGAGAAGAAACGAAGTGTATGAAGATTTGCAGCATGAGTTCTCAGGCAATGAAGAAAGTAAGCAGTTTTTATGTAGACTTGAAACAGAATTGAAGCTTGTGTTAAAAGTCCGCTGGAAATCAACAGCAGGTTATACATATCAGATGTTGATCATAAACATGTTTTATTTTGCTCTGAGCAGTGGAGTTCAAAACCAACAGAGCTGTTGGAGTAATGTGACTCAAACATGGATCGAAAATAATGCACTTCTCTGAACTAACAATGAATTTGGCTCTTTATGGAAAAGCTATATATTGTGTCAAGAATTGCTTATGATCCCAACCTGTTTAATTGACTGCACTAATTTGTCGGTACGCTCTGTTTGAAATTCTGGCAGATTCTTCAGAGAATATGCAGATTCTTCAACTTAAAGCTCTAAATAAAGCACGAGAGAGACGAGTGGAAGAACTTAATGAAAAACTAGAAAAGAGTGCACAGCAGATTAGGTATCTGAGCCATCAGCTTTCAATGGTCACAGGTAAAATATTGTACTGATATCAGATTTTAGATTTTATCCATATCTAACAACTTGTTTGTTCTGATGCTTTGACTTAGTATCATGCAATTATTGTTCTTCTCTCTCAAGGTGAAAAGGATGGTTTGGCTGTTAGTCTTCATGAATCTCAAAAACTCTATCAGAATGGAAAAGAACGGGAAGTGTATCTTGAAGGCCAAATAAAGGCGCTTGAAACTCAAATTCAGACTCTTACTACCAATGAGGAGCAGGTACTGTACACATTATTAAACTGTTTATTGTGAAAGATCTTTACAGAATATTTGTAGTGCAGTCACATTAAAAGTAAGTGCCAGTCTCCTGGCACGCAGTGCGTGATGATTGCAGGTGAATCAATGGGGTGTATTGGTGGAAAAATAGTTTGTATTAAAATCCAGGCAGCAACAAGAATTTTAGCAACTCTTGCACAAAAGAACTGAATTGACACACAGAATATTGGAGCAAAGGTAAAATGTTTGTGAGCTACTCTAATGCTATTCCTACAGATATTGAAGCAATCCAGGGTGGCAGAAGTAGCCATGGAAAGCATGCAGAAGCAGCTGTTAGAACTTCAGCGATCAGACACTCTTCAGCGAGCCAGAGAACAGCACGATGCTGTTGTTACAGCACTCAAGCAGAAGCATGAGAAGCAAGTACTATCATTAGAGCAGAAACTTGATACTACGAAATCTGCACTACAGGAGCAGGTGAGAAATTATTATAGGGTACTGAGTACTCTTCTGAATGCTCTGGACTTATAATCTGAAGAGCTCCATATGAAAGGTATTAGCTAAAGAGGAAGAAAATACTGTGCAAGTCTCAGCATTATGAAGCCTGTGTGATATGTGTTTATAAACATCACTAAACAGTTAGAAGTTATAATGGCCTATATAACAGATGCAAAGAAGATTGCTTTACCAGAGGAGGCAAGAGTTCATTGTCTTAATGTCCCTCCTGAACGTTATTTCTATGCATAGTCTTTTCTTGAGTTGAGTACCTGGAAAATCTGGGAAAGAGAAGCACTACTTAGACTGGGTTTTATAATCATGCAACATGTGGTTATCTGATACACAGTAACAGTCTGTTATGCCATGAAATGCACAGGTTGCTCTGAAAGTAATGTCTCTTGCTTATTTCCATAGAAACTACAGCAGATACAAAGAGCACAACAACACTTTGATAGAGCACATTCTCAGATACCAAATGCTATTTTTCAACACAGTTACCACCATTAGCTATGCATTTTTGCAGGTGATGAACTGCCTGCAAATACATGTTGTGCTTGTAAAAATCCGTTCCAATGAAGGTGACTCACTATTTCACAGATGCTATGATGGCATCATTGCTAGGAAAATGTTACCCACGTAGTCCTTCATTGGCCTGACCATATGGAAGGTGCCAAGCCCAGATTATGCGGTGAGTGTGGTAGGACAGTGTAGCCAAGATTGGCAATGTGCTCAACCAACTTCAAACTTGAATGGGCCCTCCTGTTGCAAGGGAAAGTTTTTCTTTTTTTCCCTCTGTGTGGCTCCAGCTTGAAGGCTTCAGCTTACTCAGTGCTATGATTTTTGATCTGATTTGGTGCTTTGTCCAGATTCTGAGAAATCCAGAATGATTACCCTTTTCCTATCCCAAAAGTGAGTGTGTATTACTTAACCTGCTAAGTACTGCAACTCAGACCTTTTCTTGGATGGGGAATTCAGATCTCCCCCAGCCATGGACTGCTGTTTTGAGTCTAGCTTGTAGTGGTGACACCATGTATGTATCATCACTGGTAATGATGTCACCTTCAGCTTCATATTGATTCAGTAGGTCTTGACAAACTTGCATATTGTGGGTTTTTTTCTGTTCCTGTGTGAGCATTCACAGGACCTTCCTGGCACAAACTGCAGTATTCTAATGTTGCCACCTTCGATTCCAGTGCATTTGTTCACTTCTGTTTACAGTTCCCTGGTTGTAAACCACTGTCTTGTGCTGATGATCTGATGGAGATACTCCTTGTTTTGTGATGTGACAGCTATGTGTGGCCATCCAGATCGTGGCTTGTCTTTCATGTCACTTGCTACTGCTGAAATGCAGCACTCACTGCCTCACTGATCTCACTTCCACTGTTTGTTCTCCATAAATGTTAAGCAAGTGTCAGTGGATGTCATTGGCTGTGATTTTTTATTTATTTTATTTTTTTCCATCCACTGTTTGTTCTCCATAAATGTTAAGCAAGTGTCAGTGGATGTCATTGACTGTGATTTTTTATTTTATTTTATTTTATTTTTTTCCTACATGGAGAAACTCAGTGACACACCTTTGCTTTGTATGTTCTTCCACATCAGATGCCATTTTGCCATGCTGCCCCTCAGCTGCCATCTGTCACATGATAACAAAATGTAATGGAATACTGGCAGGGAGTTTCAACCTCAGCTGCCATATCACCAACATCTGCCTCTGCTGTAAGCCAGCATAATAAAATAGGTATTACTGCCCTTGTGTATTCAAACAATGCACTCTAGTCGGACATTGATGAATTGTCTTCTTTCGTATAAAGAAAATAGAATTAAAGAACTTTCATTCTATGCCTGTAGTTTTGAATCTTAACATAAAAATGCATGAAAATGGGCTGTGCATTTGGAAAGTTAACTATCTTATTTTGCATAAGAGAAAGCACTGCTTATAGTGAGCTCCTGGTTTTAAAAAAAGATAAGTTGAAAGGAGGTACAATACCTCATCTTTACACCTAGCTAAGTGTTGCCATATGGAGGACTTCCTATCACATGAAAAACTACATTTCTTGTTTTACACTGCATTGAAACTTACTGACTTGGCTTAAGCTCTGGTGACTTAAGCTTGGGCTGAGAACTAAGTACATGTCACTAATCACAGGGCCTATCTGACGTGCTAAGAACACACTGCTCTAGGAAGCACAGGACAGTTTGCATCCATGTTTGTTCTTACATGGGTATACTTACTGTTTCTTTGTGGAAACTTAGTTGCTCTGAGAAGTCACTTGTCACTTATTTTGGATGGTTCAGTGTTTGTTGCATGAATAAAAACAATTCTTCTTCCTAGAAAGAGCTTTGCCAAAATCTAGGAGAGCGTGTTAAGGAACTTGAAAAAATGCTGGAAGAAACCAAATGTGAAAAAACTGAAATAATAAATCGATTGACAAGAAGTCTTGAGGAAAGCCAGAAGCAGTGTGCAAACTTACTGCAAACAGGTCAGTCTTTTCCTCACACCATATCTTCCCATACACAAACAACTAAAGCATGCCATTGCAAGTCGGTGCTCAGCATCAAGCTGAATGTATAGTGGACTACTAAACAAATGTTATGCTACTACAGATGCTTTCTTCATTTAAAAGTATTTTAAGAATACTTTAGTGTTATCTGACGTGAATTGGTCAATAGTAGCTGATCTGTCAGCATGTGCCTGGCAATTTCAGCCTTTACATGCTTAGTACCTTGTACTGTCAAGCACATTTAAAACATATCCACTATTAAATCAGTGGAAGCTTGGGTGCTTTTTGTGCTGTTAAAATCTATTTATTCATTTTTCTTACATGCCTTTTCAAGTTTCATTTGGCATAGATGTCTATTCACAAATTCTGTAGTTGAAATAAATAAAAGCTGGTGTAAAAAAAAAAAAAATAGTAGTTGCAGAACTGAAGCTTTTAATTCTTGGGAAGTTTCAGCATGAGCAGCCATGCTCGTGGTTTTCACTAGTTAGGTCTTTATGAAGCAGAGCTTTACTGTTGTACAATAAAAAACTCAGTATGAATTGCTATGCTAAATGCAAATGTTTAAGTTTTCTTGCAGCTGGAGACTGCTTCTGGACAATTTCTATTAGTAGGAACAGTGTATGGAATTTTCTGCTCATTATGTGTATGTCTTGTGGCTCCCATTAGATATGGAAGTGTTTTAATAGTTGTTTGCTTTCTAGGAAAGGACAACATAACTTACTGAAATGCCTTTCTTACCAGATCCTGGATTTAAGTGTATGTTCTGCTTGAGAACTGTGGTAATCTGGAAGAAAAGTCTGTCCAGAGAGAGCATGGTGGTGAGGATGGAGGAGAAAAAACCTATTAGCTGTGTATAATGTAGAAACTATATAAACGATTTTTAAGAATTTAACTGCCAGCTGGAATACCATCATGACTTCTTCCTCCATGACTTATTCATCAAAAGCCTTACACCAATAATAAATTGGCAAACTCTTAGAACAAAATTCCTTATCTCTGGAGGAGCCAAAAGTTTTCCAACGCTGTCCTGTTCCTGCTCACTTTGCACAGTTTTGTGTGTGATTTTTGGTTTTTTTTTTAAATTCTAATGAGCTACACAGAAAGCAAACCTTTGGCACATCTTGCTTCTCATGGTATTTGTTTTACAGCTACAATAAAAATTGAAAAAATTAAGTCAGCGTAGTTCCCAAAGTTGAATTCAGATTGTCACTTAAATTGGAGATCAGTAGTAGCCCAAGTTCACCTGTTTGGTGCAGTGGGTATTCTTGCCGTTGTTCTTTGTGGGTTTTTTTTTTGTTTGTGTTTTGTTTTGTTTTATTTAGATCACATGGTCTTTCTTGCATATTTATGCTTTGCTGTTTTTGTTTGTTTTTCTTTTCTTCCCTGCAATAGGCTCCATACAGGAGGCAAATCAGTTACGGTTTCAGTTGCAACAAGCTCAGTCTGCGCACATGATAAGCAATAACCTGAACAAGGCTTTGCAGGTTAATTTCTTTTATTAAATATTTCACATTTAATTAGGTTTTGATTTTGGAGGGGTGAGCATTGTAGCTGACAGGCTGGTGGTTTCGTACATATACCTGTGTGTATGTAGGTACAAGTCTGACATCGTGCGTTTGACCCGCTTGTGGAAAAGGAAGCACATAAATTCAGTGTGTTGGGAATGTCATAAGTTGGCCTGTAGGGAAGATTGTGGGTTTTATTTTCTGAAATTTTTTGATGTGCCATCAAGAAGAAATGCTAAGGAGTCCTCTTAAATACCACTGGGCGTTTGTGTTTCCAGTTCAGTAAGTGATCTCTTTAGATCTATCATCTTAAAGCAAGGAACCCTAACAGGTACTAGAGTATGAACTGTGTATGCTTTTTGTATAGTAAAATGAACAACGGGGCATCACAAGGAAAGAAGTAGTAATATTTAATTTCATGTATGAACCGTAAGATCAAGAGAATGTACTGAGCAACAGAAAATATTAACTGATTAATTTGTAGTTGTTGTATGTTATGCTTTGCTATCAAAATGATTGGTGTTAAAAAAAAATAGAACGCTCAAGAAAATACAACTGGTGTATAGAAAGAATAACTCCATGTATTTGTTTTCTTTGTAAGAATCATAGTCTTGATACATTTGCTTAGAGTTTCTCTGCTCTATTATTTTTTCGTCTGTTCTTTTAAGGATGAATTAATGGAACTGAAGGAAGAAATAACTTTGTATGAATCTGCTGCCAAACTTGGAGTATTTTTGAGTGATGCAGGTGGAGAGCTGCAAGCGAACCTCAGTGATTCCTGTGTAGATTTGGGGATTAAAAAAGTCACCATGAATAACTCAAGGTTCTGCAGGTACTGAGTAATTCTTATTGGAAAAAAAAATCTAAGATCTTCCATAACTTACACAAGCAATGTGTAAATTCAATTTTTTACTTCCTATTTTTATTTGTGATAGATACTGCTTGTATCCACAGGTAACTGGGGAAATAGGAATTTGAATTCAAAGTGTTATGTTGAATGCCTCATCATTGCTTAATGCATACTTAGGTTTCACAAGGACTACGTTATTGTTCCTTGAGTGTGATTCCTTTTTGGTGTTTCTGGAGTGATTCTTTTTTTTTTTTTTTTTCTTTTTTTTTTTTTTTTTAATCAATTGCCATGAGAGTTCAGCAGAAAGCATTTAACATGTGCAACAAAGTAAGGAGTGTTTTCACTTGTGATGCTTAAGAAGCAGTCTGTTGCATGGCATGGGAGACTGGCCTTGTGTTCTTCAGGACTTGAACTCTGCTTCATTAACTCTTCCTGTAAAATCTGAAATATGTCATAGGGAATGTAGCAATATGCTTGAGTAACTGATCTGCATACAGAGTGCCACTGAATTTCTCGACAACAGGCAGACATATCTTTAAAAAGTGGAAAAATTCTGTTTTCCTGCTTGCATTATGCTTGCTGATAACTATTTTGCCAATGGTATGGGTTGTGTGCATGATTTTGCTCCATGTGACTACTTCATGCTCATGCTTTCTCTATAGCAAGTCATCCTGAAGTACTTTGTGTCATGTGAGAATGGATCTTCTGGGAGAAACAGCAGAATGAAGGTGTTTTGTGTACGTGAATTGCAGCTTAATGAAAAAGCATGAGGCTTTTGTGTTCATGCTCTCACATCCTTTTTACTCTTATCCCTTAGAGCTGAACTTCTGTATTTGTGGTAGTATCATTTGCTCTTCTTGCTAAGACTGACTTTTGGATAAGTGTTTTGTCTTCTGAATACTGAACTGGTTATGTTCTCCCTAATAGTATAATACAGAACAGAGACATGGATAAAGAACTCTCTAAAGATGAAATTATTGTAGAATTAAAAGCTGAACTGGAACGCTTATTGAGCAGTAATAAAATGAAGAGAAACCAGATTACTCAATTACAAAATGATCTTAAAGATTGCCAGAAGAAATTAGAAGAATTCAAGCAGTTGTTGAAAGCAGAAAAAGCATCAAAAGATTTGGAGGTTTGTTCTTTCACATATTTTTCAAGTAATCTTGTAATTTGTACTATGGTTTAATAAATCAAAGCAACATTAAAATTTCTTATGAAAATGAGACAAAAAAAAAATAATGAAAGTTATGTAGCAATTCATATTAATTAAGTAGATTTGCCTTTGATCTTAAGGGAAATGTTGTTGTTTTGGTGATACCTTGTTTTGTATCTGTGGTGAGAAAGAAAGAAACTGAATAGCATAACTTGGGCAGAATATGTCTTTTTAAGTGAGTTCTGATACAATAATTTACTTGCCTGATAGTGGTGGTATAACTGATGGGATGTCAAACAAATTGCTTTCTCATAGCATTCACTCTCTAATTTGATCAGTCCTTTCATGGGCTGCATAAAGGAGGCACAGCCAGCCGGCTGAGGAAAGGTGATTGTTCCCAATCTACTTTACCATTGTAAGTCCTCACCTTCAGTGTTGCATCCAGCTCTGGGACCTGGAGCACAAGAAAGGCATAGACAGACCTGATAGAGTGGGCCACAGAAGTGTTCAGAGCTGGAGGACTTGTGTCTGGAGCTTCTCTTTAATAAACGGCTGAGAGAGCTGGGGTTAAGTCTAGAGAAAGGAAGGCTCCAAGGAGACTTTGTTGCAGCCTCTCAGTACTTCAGTGTTGCATGTAAGAAAGGTGAAGAGATTTTTGCAAGGACACCTAGTGATGGGATAATGGATAATGTTTTGAGTTGAGAAAACAATAGATTTAAGTTACATATAAGGAAAAAGATTCTTTGCTTTATGATGGTTGCAAGGCACTGGAACAAGTTGCTCAAAAGTTGGGGGTGCCTCATTGCTGGAAGTATTCAAGGTCAGGTTAGATAGAGCTGACTTTGTGGGAAGTATCGTTGTCTATGGCAGGGATTGGACTAGATCTTTAAAGGCCCTTTCCAACTCAGACAAATCTGTGATCCATGAAAAATCTCTTTAATTTTGTGTGTCTCTTGACCACGTGATTAACTTCAAATTGTGACGTGATTGGAGTTGTAACATGCACTTTTGTAATCCGTGTGTTCTGACCTGGATGTGGGACAGAAATATAGTTTGCTTCAGGGGTGTAGTCTCTCAGCTGGATAACAGCAGTCAGCTAACAAACACAATGTACCTAGTACCTACTTTTAGGAATAGCATTATGAAACTTCTAAAGAGTAACAGTGATACCGTTATTGCACTGCTGTACTGTCCTTGCTTCGTTTTGCTTTCTGTAAGTAAAATACAGTTGTAACTCTGTAACTCTTTTTAAGGAATCTGTTTCTAGAGTGTGCACCTTTTGAAAGTTATCATCTTAATTTTATTTTTTAGCCAGTGACAAATCAAAACGATGCTTTGGTGGCCAGTCTGTTAGATTCTGATAATCTTAAGGAAGAAGTTTTGAGACTCAGAAAGGCAAATGAAACTTTGCTTAGAGAAGTTCAGGTGAGACAAAAATGCTTTGCATTCCTATTAAAAAACAAACAAACAAACAAACAAAAAAACAACAAAAAAAACCCCCAAACCTACAATTATAGAAGATGCCTTAAAACTCACCTGCTACTTGACTCCTTTTTGTGCAGAGCCATGCTTTGACTATTGAAGAACTGAGAGAAAACGAGGAAAAACTGAAAAGCTCAAACCAGGATCTCTGCTGTCAGATGAGAAAGATGGTCCAAGAATTTGATGAGGATAAACAAGAAGCCATTGACAGGTTAAGTCCATTAACACTGTTTAGTTTCTTTTGTGAACTTTGATCCTACATGTGTTCATGAGGAGAGCCTGCTTGGGAAATGTAGCTTCTTTGTTCTGAAACAAAAGCTGAACCCCATTTTGAAGAGGATTCCTCACACAGGCAGTGTTTTCCTTTCTTGAAATCATAGGTGTGAAAGAACATATCAGCAACACCATGAGGATACAAAAGCCCAGTTTGAGAAAGACATGATGCAGAGGTATGCTGCAGAAAAGCAGCAGCTTATTCAAAGTTATGAAGAGACAGTCTCGCAGCTGAAGTAAGCATTTTCAGTTTTTTCAATGCTGTGAAACATTTGTGCTTCATGTCTGGCCCTTTGTGCTTTTTGAAATGCTCTTTCAAAGCAGTTATATCCTGTGAGTTTAAAAATGGATTGCTAATGTGTGATTTGTACTGTGAAGGGCTACCATAGAGGAGCTGAACAGAGAGATGACCGCAGTGAAGGAATGTTACATAGCAGTGTGTGGTGAGAAGGACACCTTGGAAACTACTTTAAGACAAATGTTTGCACGTGAGCAGCAGATGAAAGAAGATAAGGTATTATAGCATCATATCATATTAAAGTATTTTTAAGATAAATCCACTATTGTGTATTCCAACTTTGTGAGGGTTCAGGGCAGAGACTTGGTTTAAAATACAGTACTGGTAACTCTTCCTGCAGCTACTCCATTTCATGTAGTTGACTTCCCCAAAATATTGGCTCCTAAAGACAGATCGTTCACAGGTGAAGGCTTGCTTTAACTGTTCTATTTTATTATTATTGTTATTAATTACTGGTGGTTTTTGTCCTAGCTCAAGAAACAGCTTTTAGAAGAAAAAGAAGAATCACTCAGAATTCTGAGAAGTGAGCTTGAGGAGAGATACAGTAATTCTATTGCTGAAGCAAAGAGGCAGTGGCAGAAAGAAAAAGAAATGCAGATTGAGAAGGAAGTTGCATTTGCCAAAGAGCACTGGGAAAAGGAAGAAAAAGAGGTGAGAAGCTTATACTGGGATTCCTGTTTTTTGTTGATTTAACTGGATGAATTTCTTTATTTTTTGGAGAAAGAGTATATGGATATGTGGTAGTCTTATGTGTTGCTCTTCTGGCATTTGAAGTGGTTGATGAGGAGCTGTTGTTTCAGAAGCCTCTGAAGTCAGTAGGTTTTGCAGCTGATTGTGATCTTTGGAAAATTAGGCTTTATGAAGTAACACTGCAGCATGTAATCACAGCTGTAACATACTGGAGTTTTCTACCCTAATCTGAGGGTCAAAAGTTCAGCTTTCTGTTCTGTTGAGCTCAGTCCTCCTATGGAAGTCCATTACTTGTCTTTCCCCATGGAGGCTAGGTAGAAGAAGGAAGAAAAATAAACAACTCCTTCTGCACCAAATGCACAGTGGAGGTGTAATTTGGAGGGTGCAGGGGAAAGGGGGGGGATAAGGGGTCCAGCTAAGGTGCCCTTCTGAGGGTTTAGGTTTTGATGCTCTTCAGCAATGCTGTATTTGTTAAATACTATTGAAATTCTATTTATATGATGGGGAAGAATGTCTTAAATCTATCTGTCTACACATATATGTTATTTTTTTTCTTAGAAGAAGGAAGATGTCATTGCGAAGATAGAAAGAGAGTGGCAAAGTAGGCTGGAAGAAGTTAAAAAAACTGTGTTTGAATGTAAGGACTGCAGCAGTCAAACAGATAGAGTAACATGTGTGAATGATGCTTCAACTGACGAGTTAGCAAGGATTGTTGAGGATCAGAAGCTGCAGATCCAGAAGGCTCTGAAAGAAAAAAAGGCCTCTGAAGAGGCCTTAAAAGAACTTGAAATAAAACTCGAAAGTAAATACCGTAAACGTCTTGCCAGCCAGGTAACAAATGACTGTCCTGTTTGCCTGGAATTTGTGTAACTCTCAGGTGCCAACATGCTGAATGGGTCTAGTTATATGTGCTACTGGGTCACCTCAAATTTTATTTTACTTTTTTTTAGAAAATATGCTTTTCCTCTGATTTTTTTTCAAGCTCAGTAGTTGATACTTATTATATTAGGAAATAATAATTAAAATCATATAGCTTTTTCTCTATCTCTAATTTTTTACGTATCACTTGACCACAGCTGGTTGAGCTTTGCAGGAATTTTGAAACATAACTGAGGAAAGCTAAATTTTGTTTACACCGTTTTAATGGAAAGAAGTTTATAATCCTCATCATTTTGGTATCTTCTTCTGCATCTGGAAATCCATTAGATGCAGCTGGTCTGATTGTATTACTTTCTTTAAACATAAGCAGTCCCAACTGAACTCTTGTTTTTAATCTTTTCATAGGTTGAGGCAGCTTTAACCCAAGCACGTGCCAGGTCGCTGCAGGAATTAACAGACCTCAAAGAGTACAAGGTAAATCTAGAGACAGAACAAGAAGAGCAAAAAAGGGAACAGACAGAAACTGCAGCAAAGCTGGTAGCAGAAAATTAGTAGTTCTGAACAGGATTTCCAAATCTTGTATAGAATGGATGAATGCATGTATGTAGGGAATCACTAAGGAATGATGTTTCTAGTATAGTACTGCCTTGATATTTTTTTCTATTTTTGCATTAATAATGATGTTTTTATTAAAGGCTGTAGGAACTTTTCAGTGAACTATATGTGTTCTGTATATTTTATATATGTGTGTGTGTAGCTATATAATATATGTATGCCATATATATTTTTATAATGACTCAATTTTACTTGTTAACTAGTTGGCTTTGGCTTTCTCTCCTGATGAAGAAAAATGGAAGAATGAGCGTGAGAATCCAGAGAAATCTGGATCAATAGTTAGAGAACTTGAGGAAAAGGTAGTTTCTCTCAAGAAAGAATTAGAGCTAAAGGAAGAAGAAATCCCTGTGACTATCAAAGCAGCAGTGGCGAAAGCCCGTGCTCAGTGGAACAAAGAAAAGCAAGAAGAAATTGCACAAATACAAGAGCAAAATGAGAGAGACTACCGATCATTCTTAGATGACCACAGAAACAAGATTAAAGAGGTACTTGCAACAACAAAGGAGGATTTTGCAAAGCAGGTGAATGATCTCTCTGCTCAGAAGGAGGCAGAAATGAAGATGTTACTGGACCAAAAGCAGCGAGACTGGGAGGCTCAGGAAACAAAAAGACTTCAGGATGAAATTAATCGGTACGAGGAGAAGACTCTGCTTGAGCTTGAGTGTTTGTTGAGAGAAGTCCATGAAGAGCTAGTTAAAAGCACCTATAGTCAGCATTCCTGGGAGGAGAGGATTTCTGATGCTCCTGTTGAGTTAAATCATCGTTGCAAGGACAAACTGAAGGCATGCTTACAAAAGGCCTACAGAAGGACAGTTTACAAAATTCTGGAAAAGCATGAGCAAGAGAGGAAAGAGGTACTATTTCAGAGAATAGTAAATAATAGCTGGAGAAGAGATGTGAGAAAACAGATGGGTGATTTGCACCCGTTTTCCCTCACTATGTAAAATCCACCTGATCCAGAAAATTGGGGAATCCATCGTTTGCAGTCATTTGTAACAAGTTCTTTAGAACTCTGAGAGAGGGCTAAATCTATGGCCAGCAATTTAAGGGATATGATAAGGTATGGTTGTGAGACTCTCAGTGTTTGTGGTAGAATACAACCAGATTAGGAGTGTGATTTTTTTTTTTTTCTTTATTTTTTTTAATGCCCACATTGATCAGTTAAGGACATACATCCACACTCTTAAGTTAGGAGCATCTTAAAAAACTCATAGTGGTTTCTTAGGTTTATAGTACTGTGATTCAGGAATTTCTTTCTGTATGTCAGAGCGGACAGGCAAATAAATGGAGGAATTCCTCTGCAGTTCAGTGGAACCCACAGCTGTACAGTAGTGATTGGATATCACATTTCTACTCATTAACTCATGTTCAGGGATGCAGTGGCATACTTTTGGCTAGTGTTTTTAACTGCCCTCGGGGAAAGTCAAGCTAATATAAACACAAACCAAATTTAAAAGTGTACATCTCATCTGATGCAGAATGTTCAGAGCCCTGTCTGTACTTTTTAGCTTCCTGAAAAGATATCCACTGCTATGCCTTCTGTAGACTCTTTAATATTCTGTTCTGACTCAACTGCTGTTCCAAAGTCAAACTCTGGGTGTTATCAGGTACTGCTATTGCAGGAAATTACACTTAGTAACCATTCTCTATGCAAGAGTACCTGTTTACATCGCTATTCAAGCTGCTCTCTTCAGTTCCAGTTCAAGACTAATACAGCTGGGATGCAAGAATCAGAGCTAATACAGTCCTTTGGGTTGCTTGTTCATCTTCATCCTAGCTTTAATAAGTAGTATGTTGTGGAACACATTGTTTGGCTCTTTGTTGGATTTTCAGACAGTGTTCTTTCAATTGCAGAAAAATGAAAAGGTACTGAATAATGCAAATAAAGAAGCCTGCTCCAGCATGCAAGGAGGTGATGGAGAAACTGGGAACATAGCAAGATCCCCTTTTTACAACATTGGACAGCAATCAGAAACACAAAGAAGGCTGAAGAGACGGCATAAAAGTGGGACAGATGGAGGTATTGGGGTTTGTTTTCACTCTGACAGAGCTGTATGTTATCCAGTTAGGCTTGATAAGCTTGAACTTGTGAACATTTGGATGGTAGAGGGAGATACAGTTGGTCTGATAGTAAGGTTGTAGACAGAGGAACAATTTCACCTTTGGTGCTTAAAAGTTTGCATGCAAGCCAGCGCTGAGCCTGGTGAGCAGGATGTGGAGCAAATGATATCTTGGAGCAGGTAAGTATTAAGGCAGAGCTTTGAAGCCCAAAATCTAAGCTATCAGGCAATACAAGGAATTGTGCCTTTGCACCAAGGGCACTGTTGTGTCAGGAATGATTCTTCAGCTGGCAAGGTAGTTTCTCCAGTTCTCTTGAGGAAGGGTTTAGTTGCTGAGGAAATGTGAATCCCCTAGGTGATGCTTCTCTCCTCCTCCTCCCTGCTCCCATCTCCCTCCCAGCCCTTGAAACGTGCTGATAGTTGAGCACTGTAGCTTTTCCCAAAGCTGTCCCTTGCAGCTCCCGGTCCTGCCATAGTGTGTAGCTGGGGAAGAACTTCATGGGAGGCACAGCAATGTCTCTGGGGCTTTCAGTTTATTTGAGTTGTTGTGCAACAAAAAACATAAAGGGAGAAAGCCCAAGAGAGTCCTTGGCTTTGTGCCTATAACGCGGCTTGAATTCCTTCACCACCAAAATAACAAACCATCTATTAAATGCAAAACAATGCAGGCAGCACAGCCCTTCTGCCTCTCGAGCTCCCTGTGCTGGCTGTAGAAAGCAGCCGTTGCTCCCCTGGAAGTAGCCCAGTCTTTGTAAATTTCTTAACTTAACTCAATGCAGCCGCGTGTGAGCCTTCCCAGCTGGGCGAGTTTCCTTCAGCTGACTCCAGCAGGCCCTGTTTGGCTGTTGGCTTTAAAAATAAATAAATAAGGGGAGAGATAAGTGGCAGTGCAGCCTCCCAGTGTCGTGTTGCTGCCTGTTTTGAGACCTCTGCGTCTGATTGTTGATGGGAGCGTGCTGAGGCTGGGAAGGCTGTGTGATGCGACTGGAGCTGCTGCAGGTTCTGTACCAGGCTGTTGTGATTACTTAAATTGGACTCATACACGGTGTGCTTCCTTAGCGTAGAGTGGAAATAGCAAGGTTGAATATGATTCATCTGGGACCCTTGAGTGACGGGTGACTTCTAGTATTTGTTGTTTCAGATCAGCAAGGAGCAAGGAAGAACCTTTGGTCCCAGGAAGGGTTGTGCTGTAAACACTGCAGCCAGGAGCTGGAAAAGAAAGAGGCTGTGTGCCAGGACTTGAAAAGAGAGTTGGAGACTGCTCACAAACGTCTTCATCTCTCTGTAAGGAAGCAGAGAGCAATGTCAGAGCAGGTCCAAGGTAAGGATGCTGAGTCAGAATAGAAAGCTGTGAATGTCTTGGCGTGATGACCGCGTTTACCTCCTTTCTTGCTCAATACAGTTTTCAGTGGATGTAATGGTGTATGCATGCATGCATGCTTTAACAAAATGAAATGGAAACCATTGCTCTCATGGCTGTAAATTGAGTCTTTGCTTTGGGCCTTGCATGTTGATGTTTTGCTCAGGCTAAGTCCAGTGGGTTCATTTATTTAGACTTCTGCAAAATGTGCTGTGTTTGATTCCTGCATGCTTGTCTCTGGTGCAGCTGATTGTTTACTGGTGATGCTTGTTGACATTTGGGTCTTCTACATTAAGGCAGCAGTTTGTGATGTTTTATGTTGAACTCTGCTTGAATGTGGGGAAGTACATTGTTTTATGGTTCATTACTGGCTTTTCTAGAAAACGAGAAGCTTGTGGAATCTCTAATTGCAGAAAACACTGAGATGAAGGCTAAACTGAAAGACATGGGCACATCTCCAAGGTATTTCAAAAAGCAATGTGGACAAGGTGATATTTGTAAAGTCTAGGCTGTTCTTAGGCTGTGTGACTTGTATTATTTTCAGGTTGCTATCCAAGGGAAGTGTCTCAAAAGCCTGTTCATCCTGTGGCTCTGTGAAAGGGCTGGAAGAAATGCGTGCACAGTACATTAAATCTGTGAGCAAGATAAAGAGTAAGTACAAGAGGTTCAATTAAAAGGTTGGGAGACCAAAATCATTTACTTGGTACTGTTTCCTCCTTCTATTAACTTACCTGGGAATCTGACAGCCAGGTCACCTAAGAACACCTAGTTGATTTCTTACTGGGGGGAATGTTGCCATAGTCTTAGACAAGCTTCATTGTGTGGTATGAAGCCTTGTTATGCTGTCCCTGCTTTGTTGCATTAATTTCTGTTTCTCAGATGGTACAAGCCTTGGATGTACCAACCAGCATTCGTCTCAAACCCCTGCGCTTTGTGTTTTCCATGAGCTAAAGCTGATGGAGGTGCAGGGTGAGCCAATTAGGTTGTTGTGTCTGATGCTTTGTAGAGGCTGGCTCTGGGTCTTTCAGCAGTGTGAAGCCTGTGTATCACAGCAGCTTATGGATTTGGGCAGGAGGTTGGCTGGTGAACGTGGGCCCTTGCTTCAGGTCTACTCAGCAGTCCTTTTGGTGGTATTTTTCTGTCTCTCCCCTCTGTGGCAGAGCTGTCCCTTATGCAGTATGTTTCTGTAGGTGATATGCTGTGTTACATCCGTGAAAGTAAGGAGAGAGCTGCTGCAATGATTAAGTCAGAGGTTCTCAGAGAGCGCCAGGAGACAGCACGGAAAATGCGGAAGTACTACTTGACATGTCTTCAACAGCTTCTTACTGATAATGGGAAACAGGAAGGGTAAGCTCCAGCATGACTGGATATCTTTTGGTTTTGAAAGAGTTCTGTCAGCTTGAGTATAGCATTGTTTGTCCAGTAGCATTGTTCATCCCATGTTGGCACAAGTGTTAGTCTGGCCTGATCTGATGAGACGGGTGTGGAGTCGCTGCTGATCTTGCTGGCAGAGAATTGCTGAGCTGTCTGACACCTTGTCTTCTCACTGCTCTTCCAACTTCCGCTGTCGTTACTTTTATGGAAAATGCAGAGTCTGGACATCTTTATTTTTTTTTCATGTTCTCTGGTTATCATTAGAGCTGAAAAGAAAATAATGAATGCTGCCAGCAAGCTTGTTACAATGGCTAAAGGACTTGAAACACCTCTTCGACACACATTGCAGTGCAAAACTACCTGCTCAGGTATGTTGGGTTATTTATTTATTTTCTTCTTCACCACATAGACGTAATGCACATAGTAACCAAAATCAGGTGCTTAGGGAGGTACTGAGTATTTACGAGCTTGTGAATGGATGTGTAAACATAGGCTGCTTATTTTGAGAATCTGTTTGACCTGTATTTTAAAAGGGCCAATACCCCCTCCCTCATTTATTATTTTCTTTAATCTTTCGTTGTTAATTTTCTTTTATCTGGTCCGTTTCCTTCTCTACTCTTCTAGCTCTACTGTTAAATTCTGACCTGCCTACTGGAGTAGAATTCTCAAAAAGAGATTGCCTGTCTCAAACTAGGCCAAACAATATGAAAAGCAAATCTTGTGGCAAAAATACACCTGAAGAAGCTAATGATAAAGTTGTTCAGAAATACATACCACGTGACTTGAGACGACAATTTGATGCAAGACAAACTGAGGCACAACATATGCTTCATGAAAAAGATACTTCACATATTCAGAATAGGAATATCTATAAACATCTTGTTAATGCTGGAAGAGATGGACTGTCAAAGATTCTTCCAAATGTAGATGGAAGAGAAGAAAAATACAGCCACGTCGTAAACGTAGACAAAGAACTCTTGTGTGCAACTAGTAATTTTGCAAATCCAAATGTCCCTTCATTTGTTTGTCAAGGACAGTTAGAAAATGCAGATGCAGCTAGACTTGAAAATGGCCCTGCCATCTCAGGGTCAGCTCATCACATGCTTAAGAGTAAAAATGAAAGAACAACCTTGAAAGATGATAAATGTGTCCTCTCACGTGGGACCTGGCAAACTGCATATGAAAGAATTCAGGACTTTGATTTTCCCAGAACTCCTGAGAGGGATGAAGGAAGCTGCAGTGAATGGAGTTCTGCGAGTGGAAGTTTGCATCTGGGCGATTCTGATAAGTCTGCAGTGTATCCTGAAGAAAAGCCCACTACCAATGAACAGAGGCAGAGCGTGTGCTGTGAAGGACGTGAAAATTTTGGTGGTACTTGGAAAGAACTCACGAATGGCAATGTCAAGAATCTCAATTAAAAAACAGCACTATAGTTTACAGTAGAGACCAACTGAGGTCAAACTCAGATCATATTTCATCTCTTGGGTCTGACAAATCAAATTCTGCTAACACACAAACTAATATGCTGCCAGTCTGAAATACAGAAAAATGCTGCAACAATACTTTGAAAAGAATGGCATGGGATCCCCAGTCTCTTCAGCAAAGCTCTGATTCTGATAGCCCACTTAAAATAAAAAATAAAATAAAAAAAAACCAACTTGAACCAATATCAGTGATAACACTTTTTTTTCCCTTTCAAGTGAGTATAAATGTGAGTGTGAAGAAAGGAAATGACCCTATTTTACTGGGTCCGTTTCATGACCAATGTTACAGTTTAGACTGTTGCATGAAGAAATTCTGTGCAATCACTTGAAATATTAACATAGACTTTTTTGTTCACCTCTGTAACAGTGCTTTCATAGCTGTTTATAGTGTATTATGTACTTTTATTAAAAATAATATATTTTTATATTAAATTAAGTGTACAGTGTTTATATAAAACAAACCTACTGTTGCTTGTAGTAATCATTTGAAACGGTTATGAATATTCCTTCAGAGCTCAATGAGAGGTGTTGTTTGAAATGAGTTTTTCAATTGACCTATTTTGAAGGACACCCTCTAGACCTGTGTATGTCTTCATAATAAGTATAATTATACTATCAGAAATGAAATTTCAAGTACTTTTTTTTGAATGCAGCAAAAAACTGATTGTACTGGGCAGAGGAAGATACAGATGAAGGTAACCACATGTTGCAGATGTTCCTTAAATAGCTACAAATTTTAAATGGAAGTGTTGTAATTCTTTTCTTGATGGTTTAAAAGCTTGGCTTTAGGAGCCTGTTTGAATTTAAGAGCACCGTGAAATGCATTGTTTTTCTTGGGGTACAATTTTAATTTCTAGGGATACTGTAACGAAAAACAAGCATTACATTGTTTGCTTTATTGGCTTCATTTGTGTTGCTTGCCTGGTGTAGTTAATGCTTGTTGCAAATAATTGCTTGGTTTTTGGTCAGCAATTCACATCAATAGTAATACAGAACACAGTAAAAAAAAACAAAACAAGATGGTCTACTTGGCCTGTCGTTATTCTGTGATGTCAGCAGCAGTAGAAAAGGGCTGAATATTTTCCTCATTAGAGGTGTGTATACATTTCACGTGTAGCAGCGTTTAGCTGTTGTAAGAATGCTCTTACTTGATCTCTCACAGTCAAAGAGCACTGCCTAATCTCAGAATCTTGTCAGTGTTTGAGTGCGAGATCCAGGAGGAACCTTAGGGAGAAAAACATTTAGCTCCCTTTACAAAAATGTGCTGCTTGTATTTCAGGCCAGCTGGCCTGGAATGGCAGAATGCGTTATGGTTCTTGGTCGGCAAGACTGTTTTGTGACTGGAGGCTTGGTCAGGTGGTCAAATGAGAGCTCTAAATTTCTTGGTGACCTTTAATGTTGCCCATAAATGCAGCCCCACTTCCCCTTTGGTGAAGGAGGGGTTTGTCATCGTCAGTGGGAGCGAAATGAGGCCATGAGAGATGGCTTGTGCCTACACAAACATGGGCTGTGGTTGTTTGAGGTCCAAATTCCCATCTCTAAGCTGAGGAAATAACTGTGGCCTTGCGTGCAGGGTGAAAGTTTTTTCTGGTTGTCCTTTAAACCTATGGGGAGGTTCTTTTTTCAATACTGAGTGGCTTTTTTGGTTTGCTTAAACATTTCCCCCAAATAGCACAAGATTTATTAACAACAAAGAAACTCCTAAAAAAAACCAAAATGCTTAAACTCTGCTTAAGTGGTGCTTGAACAGGTGTTTAAACCACTGTATCAGATTAACCCATTCCTTGGGCTAGTCCAGAAACCTTTGCTGGATGAAGAAAGTATGCATTTGCAAAAAAACCATGCTCCTTGCTAACCTAATGTTTGTTGTATCCTTTGTTGCACTGACAGCTTCAGAGAGCTCTGAATCTGCTGAGATGTTTTTCCACATATATATATATATATATATTTAAGTATTATCATTATCAAAGCATTAACTGTCTTTCATTTGAAAATCTAGTTATTTTATAAAAGAATGAGGCCCCCTTCTTGAATTCAGATTATAAATTGCATATGTTTAATATCTAGAAGAATATAGTGTGGCTTTTTAAGAAGAAATTCCTTCTATTTCTGTTTCTTATAGCGAATTTGCAAAAGTGTGTTTAATGTGAATGTACAGAGTTGTTTCTTTGGGTTGATATTCATGCTAGGTAACCTCCCCGAGCTCTAAGGAATTGATTAAGGTGATTAAGGAATCACTTTCTAGAGATTAATGTAAAGACAAATATTTACAGAAATGCATGGTAGATCACTGACTGTACAACTTGTAAATATGCTATTGCAAATGTGGTGGGGGATCTAGTATCAGTTCCAGAAGTTTCTTCTCTGGTGAAAACTTTGTGCTTTTATTCACAATGGAGGACAAGCAATGAAATAATTGTAGTGAAATAATTATTGTGCAGAGAGATCATGCCCACACGTGTGTGGAAGTAGGGTTATAAGTGTAGGGAGCTGAGAACTGCATCTCTTTGGTGATGAAAATCTGGGAAGTGGGCCACTTAACCTGGAGAGGAGAAGGCTCAAGAATCATTTCATCATGTGTATGTAAAGGGAGGATGGAAAGAAGACTGATCCAGGCCTCTCAGGCCTAATGATGTGACAAGAGGCAATGGCAGTATACCAAAACATTCCATATTGTGGAACTGAAACCTTTGGTGACTGCTGGAGGAGGTGTTGGAGTGCTGGGGATGGCAGGAGATGACCCTCTGCTGGCACCAGAGGGGCCTTTTGTGTCTTAATTGTGTACAATTAAGTTGTGTTGCAACTGAAAAACTGAAAAAGTATTTAACATGAGCAGCTGATGTTTTTGCTCCAATGAACACGTGCTTTGACAGGATAGAGAAGAATGGGACTGGGGTACCAGTGCTGCAAGTAATAACTGAATACATTGTGTAGTTCTTGAGTCGTCAGATAGAGAAGCCAGAAAGGACTACTGGGATGTACAAGAAGCTGTGCATGTGGCCACATATCAAAGCCTCTCTGAAAATTTGAGAGAAGAGCTGCATTCTGTATGGGAATAGGTACAAGTCAGTTGATAAGTCATCTTTATTTATTTATTTTGGTTACTGTTGTTCTCTTTGTTTCTTAAAATAACTTCTGTAGACAAAAAGAACTGACTAACTTTTTCAAGGGCAGGTTAAACTGCTCTGGAACACAGTGTATGTCAGCAAACTGAAGATGTTGGTTTTTTGTTCCTTTTATAGCTTTGCTTCTTGATCCTGAATAAATGATACCTCCAAAGTACTCCCGATGTCTCAAAGATGGCAACTATTTCAGAACAAATGAAGTCATCTTATTTTGGTGCAGTGATTCAGATGTGCTCCTGACAGTTTCAAAGCACTGTATAAGTTCCTATCAGCCCTGAAAATCTCTGTAAAGCACAAAAGCTGTGAGTTCTCAGCAATTAAATGTTCTTTGGGTTCCCACTGGGAAGGTGGGGGAGTGAGCGGAGGACTGCGGTGCTTTAGCCACCTGCTGGGTTAAACCACAACAGTCTGCTATAGGTTTTCATAAGAAAATTAAATTCCTTAATTTAAGTTGTTAATACCTTAAGTTTATGTTGTTAATTTATTGAATTGAAATTGTTTATTAATTTGCCAGTGTACATATTGCCTATCAAGTCCATACGAACTAGTAAGTTCAATCAAGCAGTCTGAGACAGTTGTTTTTGCCCTCAGCAAAGTTTGAAAGATAGTTCCAAGCCAAGGAGTTGTTATGTAACATGACCTGCTTGTTTCTTACACACCAGTGAACACTGGACAGATTTTCTGCTCAGGTGCACCTAACACGTATTTCATGCTTAGCTGCTTTCTTTCTGTGGAATGGCGTATTTGACCTGAAAGAGATTGGTGTTGCCAAAAGCGGTATATTAAATGTTCGTTCTTTCTTTCTAAGTCATCTCCCTTGGGAGGTCTACTTAATGTGCTTCGCTCCTGCCATCTGTAAGAACAAGTGAGATGGGGGTACTGATGCAGAATATCCCCTTTGTAACTACAGTTCTTAGAGTATATATTTTTTGCTTGTAATACCAACTTCACTCTATCCATGTATGTGCAATAATCTTGAATGCTGGTTATCTTGCTCTGGGGCTGATGAACTGGAAGTGGTAGCATTATTCTCTGTTTGGGTCCAGTTGCTTGATGACTTTCCTGGACACACAGACAATGAATCATTTAGGTGATAACTTCCGTGTAGTAAAACAGTTGTGTGTTCTCGTCTGGGTTTTAATGCAGATTCTTGAGAGCAGGTTTTGAATGTTCAGTACCTTTCTTGCATGCTTTTTAGGGAGGAATCTCAGCATAGTAAGTTTGCAGATTATTCTTGCAAAGCTGTCCACCCTATGACACATCTATCTGGTAAATTTTCCCTTACTTCTTTCTGGTGTGGTTCATTTCCTAAAAAGAGGCTGCCAGGAAAAATTGTGTAGGTTAGTAACTGTAGTCTTATAAGCATTATGTGGTGTAAATCTCTTCAGTGAATTCTAGTGTTGTAAACAAATGATGTCTTTTCAGTGTAGAAATAAAACCATGATTTTTGTGCAGGCAGTCTGTTTCATCTGTGCCTGCCTATCTTTGAAGGAAGTAGTATGCATTCATTTGCAAAGCAGGTAACACCTTGTTCTATTTCAGTAGCAGCAGCCCTTGGAGGATCAGTGAAGACCAGCTCTCTAAGCATTCAGACTAGCATTCATGAGACTGAAAAGCAGTAAGGCTTTTTGCTCGATTAGTGCTGAAGTTGTGCTTTTGAGAATGGAACCAAATCTCAGCTAGTTGGGTGTATGAGAGCAATCTAAGTAAAAGGGGTGCTGTACTGCCACTAGCAGTGTGTTTGGAAAGTAGAATGATCATCTTATGATAACTGATAGTCAAAATGTAAGTTTGTGTAAGCAATTGTGTACGAGTAAGAACTGTTCATGGATGACAGCACACTAAATGTTCTTGAAATTCACTAAAGAAGTAGTTTTAATGTAGGCAATGTGCTCTGCTATTCATCTGCAGTACTTCCACCTTGATGATGTAAAACCCCAGAAAGAAAAAATTATGATAAAAAAAAAAAAATCTCTCAGTTTTGAAAGGGGGGGACTCCAAGTGATACTGTTTGTATATTTCCACTGCAGTATATTTCTTCTTTATTCTTTTTTTTCAATTTTTGGAAAAACCAAAAACAACACTTCGCAATGATTAAAGAGTAATAGAATAACAGCTATTAATAACTTGTAGTGTTAAGCCTTTAAGTCACCCTTCTTATGCAGTCTAAATCTTCAGTCAAAGTGTTGCCAAAATCAGTGGACAAACTCAAAGGAGCAAAGGAGCATACCATGTGTCTCATGAGCTCTCACTGCTTTGTACTGGAACAATTGGTTATGCCTGGAAGAATGCTGTAACTGTAGGCTGGTTTGGTTTCTTTACTTAAATAGATGATTGTTATTATGTGGAGTTCGTACCGCATAATTTCAAGTTTTTTATTGACTTAATTTGATTAATTTATTTATTTTCAGGAGAATTTGTATGTATGCATGTATGGTAGGTTTATGCATATATACACTTCCAATTATTATCCTTTTCTTAAAAACAAATTTAAAAGAATCTATTATTATTATTCATTTTTGCCTGCCACAATGATGAGCTTCTAGAAGACAAGGAAGTTTATCTTAACCTTCTGAGGAGAGAGCCTAAGGAGAAATGCAGCAATTCTATTACCAAAATAATAAAAAGAGGCAACTGCAGCAAGAAAACAAAGAGCAGGCTGAAAAGGAAGTTTCATTACCCAAAGTCCACTGGGAGAAGGAACAAGAGGAATCAGATTATCAGGGAATTCCAAGTTTTCCGTTGATTTAATTTGATGAATTTATTTATTTTCAGGAGGAGGACTTAAATGTATGATAAACTTATGCAGACATTCATTTTAATTAATCTTTTTCAAAAAAAATGTTGTCTACCTCAATCTGAGGGTGAATGGTTCTGCTTTCTATACTGTTTGGTTCAGTCATCTCATGAAAGCCTGTTCTGTATGCTTCCCAAAGGAGGCAAGACAGAAGGAGGAAGAAAAATAAATTCCTTTAATAAAAGCATAGAGGGAGGTGTAATTTGGAGGGTGCAGGGGAGTGAAGGAGTGTCAGGGATGCTAAGATGTGCCTGGAGGGATTTAGGTTGTGGTGCTCTTCAGCAGTGTAGAGCCCTGTCTTGCAAGGAAGAAACTCTTTGCTCACAGGGTGTGATTTTGGTGTTCAGCTGTCAGGCAAGATTATTGGTCTAAGCTATTTTTTGTTATTGTTATTAAATGCCAGTGAAATTCTATTTATATTCAGTTGATGAGGAGGTTGTCCTAAATCATTTTTTCTTTTCTTTGGTAGAAAGAACAAGTCACTGCAAAGATAGAAAGAGAATGGCGAAGTAGGCTGCAACAAATGAAAAAAAAATAAAAGAACAACCTGTGGTTGAACATAAGGACTGCAGTGGTTATACGAACAGAGAAACATGCGTGAGTGGTATTTCAACTGATATTTTCACCTCCCTCCCAGCCCTTGAAACGTGCTGATAGTTGAGCACTGTAGCTTTTCCCAAAGCTGTCCCTTGCAGCTCCCGGTCCTGCCATAGTGTGTAGCTGGGGAAGAACTTCATGGGAGGCACAGCAATGTCTCTGGGGCTTTCAGTTTATTTGAGTTGTTGTGCAACAAAAAACATAAAGGGAGAAAGCCCAAGAGAGTCCTTGGCTTTGTGCCTATAACGCGGCTTGAATTCCTTCACCACCAAAATAACAAACCATCTATTAAATGCAAAACAATGCAGGCAGCACAGCCCTTCTGCCTCTCGAGCTCCCTGTGCTGGCTGTAGAAAGCAGCCGTTGCTCCCCTGGAAGTAGCCCAGTCTTTGTAAATTTCTTAACTTAACTCAATGCAGCCGCG